AATTACATTGAACCTGTAGATTGCTTTTGGCAGTATGGTCATTTTCACAATTTTGATTCTACCCATCCATGAGCATGGGATATATTTCCATTTGTTTGTGTCCTCTATGATTTCTTTCAGTAGTGTTCTGTAGTTTTCCTTGTAGAGATCTTTCACCTCCTTGGTGGGTATATTCCTAAGTATTTTATTTATTTGTTTATTTTTGCAGCTATTGTAAAAGGTATTAGTTCTTGATTCTCAGCTTGGTCATTGTTGGTGCATAGCAGTCCTACTAATTTGGGTATGCTAATTTTGTATTCTAAATCTTTATTGAAGTCTTTTGTCAGATTTAGGAGCTTACTGGATGAGTCTTTAGGGTTTTCTAGGTATACAGTCATGTCATCAGCAAACAGTGATGGTTTGACTTCCTCTTTACCTAGTAGGATGCCCTCTGTTTGCTCTGGCTAGGACTTCCAGTACTATGTTGAACAGAAGTGATGAAAGTGGGCATCCTTGTCTTGTTCCAGTTCTCAGGGGAAGCCATTTTAAGATTGGATCTACACCTCAGCAGCAGGTTTGTTTCTGAGGCTGTCCCATTCTGCAGGACGGGGGAGATGGCCCAGCATTTTCATTAACAGGAAGCTTCAGTAAGAGCAAATCTAGATTTGTAATTGTGTAGAAGATAGAATGAGAACTATTTTGTTTTTTCTTAAATTTTCCTCTAGCTGTCTGTGTCCCTTGATTTTCTTGCATAAGATATTGTAAAAGATCTAGTGGGTTAGGTAATATAAGAAGGAAGAGGATATGAAATGTATCAAATACATTTGTTAGATGTTTTTGTGTTAAGTTAGTCTTTACACAAAGTTATGAGGGTGATATCTTCCTTATTTTACAGCTAAAGGAACTATCTGTAGCTCAGAGTGTGAGGGCCAATATTTGAACTCAAGTTTGCAAGACCATCGTTACCCTCAATTATCCTACCACCAGCCTCTTCTGTTTTTATTCTGGCTTTATTGAAACCTGGTAAAGCTGATTTTTAAAATATATCCATACCATATCGGCAGTCCTAATTAAGATTTCTCACCGTTGTGTGAACCATTCACATTTCCAGTTATAAGAAAATTTAAAATGAAAATACTAATTCTACTATGATGGTTTTTTATTAAATTTTGTTATATGAAAGTTTTACCTTGCTCTCTTAATTTCCTTTTACAACCTGTCATCCCTGGTTAAGTTCCTACACAGTACATGGAGAGTGGCACAAGGGGCCGGCAAGCCGAAACTGCCAGTCAGCTTCCACCTGTTGCTCTCTACACATAGAAGGTGGCGAATGCATTGGGACCGCCTCACCACCTTTGCAATGGCATCCTTCTGTCAAACAGCTCTTTGTTTCATCGTTTTCCAAGACTTGAGATAATTAACTTTTACTTCTTCAGTTTCTGACTCCAGCTCAACAGGATGCAGTAGTTACCCTGAAAACTGTGATCATGGCAGTGAAAGTCTTGAGTCTTCCTGCCATTTCTGTCTCACTCTTTTTTAAATAACTGGTCAGTATATACAACCAGTAATTCAGACGTATTAGTTATCTGCCAACAGGCCACATAGATGTGATGGGGGTTATTCCCCAGAAAGCTTGCTTTCCTCTGGAATAAGCACCTTTAGTCTTCCCCCCAAAAAAAGAGAAATGACCCAAATTACTTTCCTTCCTTATCTCCCCCTCTTTCTCCTTCCCCAAGGCTTACTGAAAATCAGGTCTATAGAATAGGCCTTGTAAATCTATCTGATTCTCCTGATTTCACTACATATTACCCACAGGAGAAACTAATTTCAGCAGAAGTGCTCAACACTCTAGTATATTTTCTTAACAAACATTACTCACTTACATTAATACAATCAAATAATTTAAATTTCACCTTTGATTATTCCTTTATTAAATTCATAGTAGCAAATAACCACCTTCATTAGCATTGATTAGCATGAGAAGAAATTACCTTGCTGTTAATTGTTTAAAAAATAGTAATTGTTAGTTTTTAATTATTAATTATATTTAATAGTAATTGTTAGTTTTTAAGTGTTAGTAATTATCAACAGGCAACTTGATATAAATTTAAAGAAAAAGGCCGGGCGCGGCGGCTCACGCCTGTAATCCCAGCACTTTGGGAGGCCGAGGCGGGTGGATCACGAGGTCAAGAGATTGAGACCATCCTGGTCAACATGGTGAAGCCCCATCTCTACTAAAAAAACTACAAAAAAATTAGCTGGGCATGGTGGCGCGTGCCTGTATCCCAGCTACTCAGGAGGCTGAGGCAGGAGAATTGCCTGAACCCAGGAGGCGGAGGTTGCGGTGAGCCGAGATCGCACCATTGCACTCCAGCCTGGGTAACAAGAGCGAAACTCCGTCTCAAAAAAAAAAAAAAAAGAACTAATATTTGCTGGAATTCAGTTATTAATAGGACTTGAAGTTCTTGGCAGTAGGTAATAAGCTAACACATTGTTATGTACCAGAACGTTCAAGTTGTTATTTCTTTTAAAACTTCAAAAGCAAGAGCATTCTTAGATACTCATTAGGGAGCTTTTTATGGTATTGCTCAAAATCAACTGATTTTTTTCTCCACTACTTGGAATTGGTTTTATTTCTTGGTGTTTAGAGTTTTCTAGGAAAATGTTTTGTTTTTGGAGGTAAATGTATAAACAGTGTCAGGAGGAAGAATTAACCTCTACGTAGTTATTCAGGAAATGATATTTATGTTCACTAGTCATAATTTTCTAGTAACCATTACACATTGCTTATTTATTTTGAATTCCCACTATTATTGGAGATTCAATTTACGTGTCATTTAATGAAATAGGAAAAGTGACATTAAAACCTGTTTTCATTTGTCCATTTTAAAAGAATATTAGCTCTCTGATATAAATAGGCCATATCAATACCATATTACCATAATTAAATATGTATTACTATAATTAAACCAAATACTAAAAAATGAGATTTCAGCGTTCAACAATAGCAGCATTTCTCAAAAGAGTATCTTCAACATTAAACTTATGAATTAAATGAAGATTTTTTTTTTAGATAGAATCTTGCTCTGTCTCCAGGCTGGAGTGCAGTGGTGCCATCTCAGCTCACTGCAACCTCCACCTCCGGGGTTCAAGCAATTCTCCTGCCTCAGCCTTCCGAGTAGCTGGGACTACAGGCACGTGCCACCATGCCCAGCTAATTTTTTGTCTTTTTAGTAGAGACAGGGTTTCACCATGTTGGCCAGGGTGGTTTCGATCTCTTGACCTCATGATCTACCCGCCTTGTGATCCACCCACCTCAGTCACCCAAAGTGCTGGGATTATAGGCGTGAGCCACCGCTCCCGGCCTAAACGAAGATAAATGTGTCTCAGAAGTGCATAGAGATGATTTATCATCCTAATATAAATGCAGCATTTTGAGGAGACTTTTGCCCATTTTACAATAATCTTGTTAGTATGCTGGAGTACTTAGTGATTCCTTACTTCAGCCAGTATTTAATGTTAAGTGATTCATTACTTCAGCCAGTATTTAATGTTAAGTGATTCATTACTTCAGCCAGTATTTAATGTTTGCCTACATTGGGCCAAACACTATTCCTGGTATGAGTATACATTGGTGAACAAAAAAATAACCACAGTTCCCACTATCATGTAGTTTGCCATCTAGTAAGGGAGCTAGCCATAAATAATTAGGTAAATAAGCATTATATCAAATATATAGTTTCAAATTGTCATAGGTACATAACTGGCATAAAGGGAGAGAGTAGACTATTATAGGGAGAATAACATGAGGGAAACCTACTTTAGATTAGGTGGTTACAGAATCTTTATATGCAGAGATCATATTTAAGCCAAGACTTGAAGGCTAAGATGGTAGCAGCCATATGGAAAACATTTCAGGCAAGAGAGAGCAGCAAGCACAGAGGAGCTGAGGAGACAAATGACTTGTTCAAGGAACTGGAAAAAGAGCAGCAGCAGGAACGTGGTTCCTAAAAGGGAAGGTGGCTGGGGATGAAGTTGAAGAGGTAGGTAGATAGGGCCTGATTGGCCTCAAAGACCCTGGTCAAACGTCTGATTTTTATTCCTGGGAAACATTCAGTGGTGATCGCAACTGTAGAAAATGAATAGATAGCCACATTGGTGTCACCAGCCCTGTTCTAATTTATTTTCCAGAGCTGTATTACATTCAGACTTTTGAAGTTCCATAAATTTGTGTATTTTCCCTTTGATACAGAAAAATCTTCACATAGACAAAGAGACCTAAAGATGAAAATTCCAAGAAATTGTTTTAGTTCTATTGTCTTAGTTCTATTTTTATAGAACTAAGGCTTTGATGGAAATATGAGATAAGGAGATAAAAAATCCTGTTGTCCAATAAAATTTGGAAAAAAATGCAATTTTACCAGTGATCAAAAAATGCAAGCTAAATCAACTATATGATACCATTTTTTTTTGCTTATTAAGTTGGCAAATATTTAAAAATACATAATTAAATTGAAATGCTTTAAAAATACCTATGCATTTACACTGATAAGGATGTAAGGAGACAGGTATTTTTATGCACTGCTAGTGGGAATGCATATTAGTATAAGTCCACAATCCCTTATCTAAGTCACTTTGGCCAGATATGTTTCAGAATTCAGAAGTTTTTGGATTTTATAAATGTAATATGAAGACTTCCACTTCAGGACAAGAGGCATTTGGAGGTTTTTGGGGGAGGAAAGGGACAAAATATATGAAATAATGGTTCATAAGACGTTGGACACCAGGCAGTGAAAAATAGTGACCCTGAAAGACAGGAGACAAATAACATAAACCCTAGGATTTCTGCCAAATTACTCCCTGGAGAAAGTTTTCATGCCATGACTCAGAGAGGGAGAACCAAGGCAGAACTTAGTCTCTCTGGGTCAAGGAGACAGAGCTCAGAGTCCAGGAAAGACAAGGTGGCTAGAGATTACAGGATGGAGTATTATGGAGAGAGAGAGTTTGCAGGATGCAGTATTATGGAGAGAGAAATTGCAGGATGCAGTATTATGGAGAGAGAGATTGCAGGATGGAGTATTATGGAGAGAGAGTATACAGGGTGGAGTATTATGGAGAGAGAGAGTATACAGGGTGGAGTATTATGGAGAGAGAGAGTTTACAGGATGGAGTATTATGGAGAGACAGAGTTTACAGGATAGGATGGAGTATTATGGAGAGAGAGAGTTTCTAGGATGGAGTATTATGGAGAGAGAGAGTTTACAGGATGGAGTATTATGGAGAGAGAGTTTCCAGGATAGGATGGAGTATTATGGAGAGAGAGAGTTTACAGGATGGAGTATTATGGAGAGAGAGATTGCAGGATGGAGTATTATGGAGAGAGAGTATACAGGGTGGAGTATTATGGAGAGAGAGTTTACAGCATGAGTATTATGGAGAGGGAGAGTTTACAGGATGGAGTATTATGGAGAGAGTGTTTATAGGATGGAGTATTATGGAGAGAGAGTTTACAGAGTGGAGTATTATGGAGAGAGAGTTTACAGGATGGAGTATTATGGAGAGAGAGAGTTTCCAGGATGGAGTATTATGGAGAGAGAGAGTTTACAGCATGAGTATTATGGAGAGAGAGTTTACAGGATGAAGTATTATGGAGAGAGAGAGTTTACAGGATGGAGTATTATGGAGAGAGAGAGTTTCCAGGATGGAGTATTATGGAGAGAGAGAGTTTCCAGGATGGAGTATTATGGAGAGAGAGTTTACAGCATGAGTATTATGGAGAGAGAGTTTACAGGATGAAGTATTATGGAGAGAGTATTTATAGGATGGAGTATTATGGAGAGAGAGTTTACAGGATGGAGTATTATGGAGAGAGAGTTTACAGGATGGAATATCTGTGGAGAGAGAGGGCTCCATAGATCTGCAGAGGGTAACTTTTGAGTATTCATTTGAGTACTTACCACTTGCTTATCCACTGTGTGAGGAAACTACTTGAGGTCAAAAATAAAAAAAGAAAAGAAGGGAAAAAGAAGAAAAAGTGCCACCCAAAAGGATTAGGTTAAACAATGTCCCAGTCTCACAAAGAGCTAGATGTAGCGCTTGCTCCTGCCAGCCAGCCTGGAAATCACAAGGTACCCCTGAGAGTACTAAGTAAATTCTTAGCCTCAGTAGTGGGGAAAAAAATTAACTGCTGCTTTGATCTCACCTAACAAAGCTTAAATGCAAAAACCTAAAAAGATAAAACTATTTCCAAGTATTATAACCACATCTCAGAACAGAGCTCAGAATGTATAAAGAATTATAAAAATATCCAATACCCAACAAGATAGGATCCACAATGTCATAATGAGGGGAAAAATCAATCCATTGAAACTAACACAGAAATGACCCAGATAATAAAATTATCAGACAAGGACATGTAAAGTTATAATTGTGTTCCATATGTTCAAGAAGCTAGAAGAACAATTAAACATGTCAAATGGAAATAGGGAATTTAGAACCAGTAGAACATCTAGAGGTTTAAACTACAATGTCTGAGATGAAGAATATACTAGATTAATAGCAGAATGGGCATTGGAGAAGAAATGATTAGTGAACTTAACAATATAGCAATAGAAACTATCCCAAATCAAACACAGAGAGAAAAAAAGACTAAACAGAAATGAACAGGGCTTGGTGCAGTGGCTCATGCCTGTAATCCCTGCACTTAAGGAGGCCAAGGCAGGAGGATCACTTGAGCCCAGGAGTTTTAGACCAGTCTGGGCAACATGGTGAGACCCTGTCTCTACAAAAATTTTTAAAAATTAGATGACTGTGGTGGCACATGTCTGTGGTCCCAGCTACTCAAGGGCTGAGGCAAGAAGGTAACTTGAGCCCAGAAGGTCAAGGCTGCGGTGAGCTATGATTGTGCCATGGGACTCCAGCCTGGGCAACAGAGTGAGACTGTATCTCAAAAAAGAAAAAAGAAAAAGAAATGAGTAGATAATTGATGAACTATGGAACAACTTCAGGTTGCCAAATATACATCTAATTGGAACCCTGGAAGAAGTAGGGATGCAGAATACAAAAAAAATATTTGAAGAGATGTGATAGAGTTCTAATTCCAGTAATAGCAGAGCAGCCTATGTTGGATGATCTTTCTGCTAATAATAATTATAAGCCCTACACAAACCATGAAAAAAAACATTGTTTAGAGAACAACTGGAAGCAGGCAGAAACTATAGGGAATGCAGACCTTGAGGTAAGGGAAGCAAACTAGACAATCTCTACATTTAACCAGCTTTTCTCTAGGGTGCTTCTTGGCTTGCCATGGAGTACTGAAGAGAAGAATTTGAATGGCAAGTCTCATTTGTACTGGGTTAAAGAAACAGAGGTCAAATTACAAGACTACCAAAGCAGCTCTAAGGGAGAAAATCTCAGAAAGAAGCATGCCACAGAAGAGGGAGCCCCAAGTTTTCTTTGCAGTTTTCCAGATTGTGTACAGACAGACAGTACTTGCAGAAAGCAGCGTCAAGCAGAGATTTCAGCAGCTGCCTGGTGCTGAGTTTTGAATGTAAATGTTGCTATATTAGAGGAATTGATAAATACTTCAAATTTTGTGTTGAAACTGCAGAAGGGGTATAGTTGAGGACTAAGGGATTTCCCAGGACTAAGGGCAAAAGCACATTAAATCCTAACAAAACCAAAACCCAAACTATCATAGGATCAGTAAGAGGAAGAAAGAAAGTGTAACCTAAAATCAAGAGAAAAAGCATCAGTAGAAGCAGACCTATGAATGACCCAGATGCTGGAGTTGGCAGTTAAGGACTTTAAAATAAAAATTATAAATATGTTAAATAATTAGTGGAAAAGATTAGCAGAATAATTGAACACATGGGGAAACCTCAGCACAGAAATAGAAACTCTGAAGTAAAACCAAGTGTAAATTGTAGAGCTAAAAAAATATCTGAAGTGAAAATTTTGTTAGATGTCAACAGGATTTCTAACACTGAGAAAAAAATTAGTAAATTTGAATACAGTTCTACAGAAATAATAATTGTAACCGAAGCACAGAGGCAAAAAGAATTGAATGTGAAAAAAACTCTTGGTGACCTGTGAAACAGTATCTACAAGTCTATCATATATAAATTATAGATATATGTACATTATATATCTATAATTTATAAATATGATAGGCATATATATGAATATAATATGTAACTTACATAGAATATATCTATAGCTGGATTTCTGGAACATAAAGAGCAAGAGAATGGGAGCTGGGAACATTTGACCTAATAGTATCTGAAATTTTCCCAAATTTGGTAACAAACATCAACCCATGCAGTCAAAAAACTCAGCAAACCTCTAGCAGCGTAAATGTAAAGGAAACCATACCCAGACACAGCATAGTCATAGTCAAACTGCTGAAGCCAAAGATGAAGAAGAAATCTTCAAAGGAGCCAAAGACAGCAATAATAATGATGGCTGCCTTCTCATTTTTTAAAGAAAAAAATGGAGGCCGGGAGACAATAAAATGGCATTTAAAGTGCTAAAAAGTAGGTTGGTATGGTACATATATTACCTTCCTGGGTGGACTAGTCTTTATTTCATAATTACGTGCTTTTGAGAGATAAACAAAGGACATAAATAGCCTCACTTTGGTTCAGGTCAGGTTTTGCTTCCAGATGACTTTTGGTTTGAAAAATGTTTTTAAAACAACCCTTTTCGTTTCAGAGCTTTTTGGATTTCAGAATTATAGGAAAAGGATTTGTGGACCCATCTTACTTATCTAAAGAAAAAGTAGTAATGTGTATTTTTAAATGGTTGTACCTTTGAATCAGGGACTTAGAAGAACCTGTCCAACAGAAATTATCAAGCTTGTGTGCCAGATGTTATATGCAAAGATACAACATTTTAAAAAATAATTTTTAAAAGTTGAAAACAACCTAAATGTCCCAACAGCCCACAGTTGATTAAATGAATCATGGTATGTCTAGACAGTGAATGAACTGCTTTGTAGCCGTGAAAAATCATATTGTAAACAAAAAAAAGAAAAATCCTATTGTAGAATAATACTGATATGTCAAAGTAAACATTCATAATGTGCAACATAAAAAGACCACAAAGCAGTGACTCTAAATTTTAATAGCAGTTACTGCCGTGTGATTGGATTGTGCTTTTTATTTGCTTTGTTTGAGCTGTTATATTCCTTAAATTTGTGTCACTGAACATGTATTTCTTTTACAATCAGAAAAATTAAGTCTTTTTTTTTTTCCATTTAAAAAGGTCTCTCTGTTGCCTAAGCTGGAGCACAGTGGTGTGATCACAGTTCACCACATCCTCAGCCTCCTGGGCTCAAGCTATCTATCCCCCAACTCACCCTCCCGAGTAATTGAGACCTCAGATTCACACCACCGTGCCAGGCTAATTTTTTAATTTTTTGTGAAGATGGAGTTTTGACATGTTACCCAGGCTAGTCTCAAATTCCTGGGCTCAAGCCATCCTCCTGCTCTGACCTCCCAAATTGCTGAGATTACAAGTATAATCTACCATTCCTGGCTCTATTAAAAAAAAAAAAAAAGGCCAGGCATGGTGGCTCACACCTGTAATCCCAGCACTTTTGGAGGCCAAGGCAGGTGGACTACCTGAGGTCAGGAGTTCAAGACCAGCCTGATCAACATGGTGAAACCCCATCTCTACTAAAAATACAGAAATTAGCTGGGTGTAGTGGCATGCACCTATAATCCCAGCTACTCAGGAAGCTGAGGCAGGAGAATCACCCGAACCTGTGAGGTGAAGGTTGCAGTGAGCTGAGATTGCACCATTGCACTCCAGTCTGGGCGACAACAGTGAGACTCCATCTCAAAAAAAAAAAAAATACAAGGTGATAAAGAGGATACTCCTATTGGTTTTAAACTTCAGCCCAGATTGCTTGGTTAAGTCAGGAATCATTTTATTAACAAAGATCACAAAAAGTTCAGCATTATTAAGCCCATAGCTTAGTGTATCATCTATCCCCAGATCTAGTGTCTGCACACCTGGATTTAAAGTGTCTCTTTTAAGCTTCATTGCCTGAGGCATTTCCAGAAGGAATCCTGTTAAATGAAAGAATAAGGCCTTTCATGAGAGATGCCATTTCTGTTGCCACTGCGAACATTCTCTGACTTAATCTCTGGAGAACAGCCTTCTCAGATAAATCGTCCACCACCACATCTAGTTCTTGGCTTGTTTTTAAAAGTCTGCGGAGTCTTTCATGAGGTCATTTTTTTAAGCTTAAATGTCTACTTTACTTTGAAAATCTCTTTTCTCCCTTTTTAAAAAGAGCATACCAGAAGTTAAAATGGATCATTTTTAGCAAGCTACGTCATACATCTGGAGTGAATTCCAAAGTATTAATGTCATGGTATGTTTAGAGCAAAGACTGTCAAGTCTAATTTTTGCAGATCTGCTAAATCTGAAAGGGCAGTCTGGATAGCTAGCAGTTTTGATTGTTGAGCTGAGGTATGTTTTCTAAAGTTATTCTTAGAATCAGAGGGTTTTTAAACAAAACCTGCAATGTGGTCTTACTTGACTAGCAATGTGACCATGACAGGGTGTATCTTCATCATCTGTACTATAGGCTCTTATAATTAGAGTTGAAAGAGGCTTGAGGCCTTGTAACTGCTTCCCAGTACCTCATTCTAGTCAGAGAGTATCTAGTATCTATTGAACTACTTACAGTAATAATTATATTCTGCCCTTGATATGGTTTGGCCATGTCCTCACCCACATCTCATCTTGAATTGTAGTTCCCATAATCTCCATGTGTCTTGGGAAGGACCTGGTGGGAGGTGATTGAATCATGGGGGCGGTTACCCTCATGCTGCTCTTGTGATAGTGAGTGAGTTATCACGAGATAAGGGGCTTTTCCCCTTTTGCTCGGCACTTCTCTCTCCTGCTGCCTTGTGAAGAAGGATGTGTTTGGTTCCCCTTCTGCTATGATTGTAAATTTCCTAAGGCCTTCCCAGCCACGTGGAACTGTGAGTCAGTTAAACCTCTTCCTTTATAAAT